GATCGACATTATTGGAAGAGCTGTCTTGAAACACGTCTGATTCCACCATTAGTCAAGTCCCGACTGATTGAGCTTTGACTTTGAGCCGAGCGAGCACGAAGGGTACACCCCCCCCCCCCCCCATGACTTTGACGATCGACATTATTGGAAGAGCTGTCTTGAAACACGTCTGATTCCACCATTAGTCAAGTCCCGACTGATTGAGCTTTGACATTCAGCCGAGCGAGCACGAAGGGTACACCCCCCCCCCCCCCAATGACTTTGACGATCGACATTATTGGAAGAGCTGTCTTGAAACACGTCTGATTCCACCATTAGTCAAGTCCCGACTGATTGAGCTTTGACTTTGAGCCGAGCGAGCACGAAGGGTACACCCCCCCCCCACTCCCCCAATGACATTGACGATCGACGATCGCGCGATCGACGGCGGTCGATAATATCGATAATTTCGATTATTTCCAATTATTTAATATCCTCGATAATTTATTTTGCAATAATGCTATCCGGTGCCTGAAAAATTATTTCATCACTTAAATTATTCATGAACAGTACCAACGAGGTTTAATTAACAAGAGACTTGCATAAATCGGTCGAATTGTTTAAGTTATTATATCGAATTGTTTTCGTTAATAAATTTATTATTCCTCGCTTCTTAATATTTACAACAATCCTATTTGTTAAATGTATGATCAAGCACCCCACTGGCTATTTTGCCATTTAATTTGTTAGTGAAAATAATTGATAGAATCGGACGTATGGAGTAATGTTTCGAGTACTAATATTTCGGGAAATTGTTGCAACAAACAAGCTTCGTTGATAAATTTATTATTTCTCGCTTCTCAATATTTAAGACAATGTTTCTTGCTAGAAATATGGTTGAATAACTACCAATAATATATAGATTGAATGTAAACGTCTATTGAAATTGTTAAAATATTTTCTCTGAGGATACACATTATTTTCCAGAATATTTCGTATATTGTTAGTTATATAAGATCGCTTATAAGTAAAATTAAAGGTAAAAATACACTAAATTCTCCCCAATTTTCCTTCAGTTTGCGAACAAAAATGGATAATTTGGGAAGAGGAGATACAATTATTTGACGAGTACGAGAGCCACTAATTTTGGTACTCGCAACAGTTACCTTGTCACGAAACTTACACAAACATTGCCTGTTTTGCCTTTTGTCACAGGCAGGGTCGTCATAGCTCGAGCGAATTTCGAACATTTTTCCTCGATCATCCGTTGCCATTATAATTTCACAAATATAAAAGAATTCAAACCACACAACTGCGCGAATAATGGGACAAAATGTCTTTCTTCATTGATAAGTTAATTGAATCTATGCCACGACGGTTACAAGCTGTCATTGAAGTCCGAGTATGAAATTACAACAGTCGTCATAGACGTGCGCGTTAAATGACCTGCTTCGCATGTTCGTCATACAAAATGACAACCATGCTCAGTTCGAATCCCCTGAATTTTAAAAAAATTATTCTCGATTGGTATTCGAATTTCAAACACATGTGGAACACAGCATGGTTGTGTTTCTTCCAACATCCATGTTCTAAGTTCGATGTGAAGAGTAAAATCCATCAATGCTTTGTTTATATGTTATATCGAATATACACAATTCAATGATGGAGACAATACTAAATTTTTTACTATGGTGGACCTTACCAAAATCCTATTGTTTCCGTTACTGCGTTTGTCATAATTTTTAAGGGTTGACATAAGGGTCAATATAAACATAAATTAAATTATGTTTAATAAAATTTTATTCGAAGGTTTGGAACTCAATGTTAGGAATTCGGGTTTCTAAATGTATTATTTCGAACACAAGTCATTAATAACGTTTTACCAATCACGGGATAAATAAATAATAAATTACTTCCTATTTATTCTTCTCTAGACTACGTGTTTATTATTTCAAAAACGCGTCCAACAACGCCCGACACTTTACAATGTTGTACAAACTTGAAAGCAGCTTTACACTCACTCATATCAAATCGTTCTAAGATTTCGTCTATGCACACTTTTCGACTTAGGAATACACGTTTGCTCTAATCACGCGAGAATTCAATTCCCAAACAACTTACAGTCGGTGCAGAAAGTATTCGCACATCAAGCAGATCGAAATTTTCTTGGGGATGTGCATTTTGTAAACCTTGCTTTCTGTAAGTTACTAACTTTTTGTAGAAGTTGCCAAGATCTATAAACTGCATTTTCTAAATTTTAGTCACAGCTCAGCCATTGTCCCGAGCAAAATTTAAATCGCTTGACCTAAGCAATTACAAAAATTGTACCGTTTTAAAAGGTGTACGGCATACTTTGTGCACCGATTCTACTCACTTTTTCCAAATCTCTTTCATCTCGAACGCTTCCGACAACTCTCTTTCATTTTATCTCATCCACTCGCTGCCATTCGAAGAAATCGTTATACCATTAACATCGTCTCGAATTATTGTCAGTAAACGACACAAAAATATCTCTTGTTTCGCCATGATGCGTATCACAGCGGAACACTTCAAACGAGTCTGGTAGATATATATATATTGACAGATTTTATACACTATTGTATGGCCAACTGATTTCGCATAATCAGTTCGCTTTTCATAATCTTACTATTTGTTGGGACGGCGTTACAGCAGCAGAGATGCCGTTATTATGTGGCACTCCGTTACCACATAGTGTACATGGAGCGTCATGCTATTGTTTTTTCGAAAGCCGTTAGGGACATTGGAAGATCGTTTCTAGAACAGTCGACGAATTCTTTACGATCCAGTCCCGCGCATCCACAGGTGTACGTCCACACAGGATGAAGTATGATCGTATGAAAATGCGTTGTCATTTATTTAATATGCTTACACGTTTTCCAAATAATATAGCACGTGGTCCTGAACTTGAAGCTCTTCTATTACAAGTAATTGAGACACGACGTTTAGGAGCTGCAGAGAAACGTATGCGACACAAATCCGGGAGACTTGTTACTGCTAATAAAACTTCCAAAGCTAACATGAGAAACTGTAGAAATTCACACATCGTCAGTTGTTAAGGATAGTCCCAACAATAATAACAAGGTAACTCCCATGACCGAGAAGGAAACAGGGCACAATTAAATATGTATGCATAAAATACAAAAGTGAGGATCGCGACAACTATGATATCAAGGATGACCAAAACCCAAATATATATAGAAGAAGTGAAGGTAGAGAATGGAATAATATTTGGACCAACGGTAAAAAGGGAAGATGGACATACACGCTAATACCTAACATTAATACATGGTACAATAGAAAAATAAGAGACTTATGCTTTCCACCTAACACAAGTTCTCACTGGTTACGGCGTATTTAACACAAAGACCTGCTGGTTATAGACAGACTTTATTTGTAAAACTATGATAGAAAATAATAAAAATTGGCACAAAATAAACGCATTTCTAATTAAACCCATTGAGTACAAGGGTAGGTACGAGAGGAAATTGGGAAGAGAAACGGGACAAGGAGGGTAAGACGGGAAAGGTTATAACGATGATAAACTTGATAAAGGACGTAATGACAAACCTGACGAAGGACTTGTCCAACGGATACTCGGGGAAGTAGTATTAAATATAGTGCACCCAAAATCTGTAACTGTCAGGCAAGACGGCTTGAAGAGCTGAAACTCTGAGGAGGGGTTCAGTGGGTAGGCCGGTTTGTCGAAGAGTCCCAGAAAGGCTGAGAGCGCTTGACGCCTCGCCGTGGTGCTTAACGAATTCCCCTCCTCCTGAAAAAAGAAAACAAAAAGGTATAACAATTTTCCAAACGAAGAACTGCAAAATTGTTCAGAAGACGTTTCCCTCGCTTCCAGATTTCGGATGTGGTTCCATCATGAAGATGCTGCCGCCCACAATGGCGACATTCGATGAAGAAGAGAATGTTAATTTTGGATCATTGTATCAACCTACAAAAATTATCGCAGGATAAAGTGGTGAAGCATCGAGAGGAAATACTCTGGAAAAAGGAGTGCGACGTCGAAGGAGCATTAAGCTTTAATATTCGGAAAACTGCAGAAAATATGCAATTTGCATTTTGCCGACGCGACACAAAAAATGGGGTACCCGACACATCCGTAATAAGAATGAACTGAACAAATTCTTAACTCGCATTTGTAATTTTGTTGCAAAGAAGATTATATAAAACATGTATCATAACAATGAAGACTTGTATAGCAGAAGAATTAAAAAAGTTTATTGTTTATTGTATAAATATTCGTATCACACAATTAACGATGGTTAATAAATAAATTTGGCTTCCGCTTATCCGCACTTACCAACAACTTCTTCTATTATTCATAGCTTTTATGTAGGAAATCTTCTAATTCGATCCTATACAAATCTTTTATACGCTGTAAATCCTGTTTGTTTTCGACTATTTGCAGTTGTTGACCGCCACAATTGTTTCTTAAATACGAAGCCTTTCGTATATAATCTTCTAATTTAATTTTGAGCAAATTTTTTATGTGTTGTAGTTCCTGCTCGTTCTTCACTATTTGCAGTTGTTGTTCGCCCATCTCATGTTTTATATCTACAAACTTTTGCTCTCGACTGTTTATGATGTTCCTGAGTTCTCTCACACAATTATGATCCTTAAATTCATTCTTGGGAATAACAAGATTACATCCTTGATTGCAAAGCATAGGTCTTTCAAGATTGTATTCACATTGTTCCAGATGCGATACAAGACTATCGAGCTTCACTATTGCTTGACATCCGTACATTATATTGTCGCAACTAATGCAAAGACGCGTTAACATATTCCTTAAAATTCGTGGAGCTGCTCTGAGCTGTTCGGAGGTGATTGGCGTATGATCTATGGGACAAGTGGCTTGTCTCTTCATCCATTCTTTAATGCATGTTCGACAAAAAGTATGCTCACATTCCGGTATCTACATAAATGATATTGAAAATAACTTTCACAATATCGGTCATCTCCTACATAATAACAATACGCAAATATTTAAACAATGTATGCAGTAACAAAGAAAAATTCCACTACATATTACATCTATCAAATGAATGGATTAAGGAAAACAATGAATGAATGATTACAATGATTCTTACAAAATTAAATGGAGATATAAAAGATATTGATGAAGATATAAATAAAGATATTGTTACAAATTAACTAGTTTCATGTCTCTATGTGAAAATAACCTTACTTCTTTTTTTTTATGAGGATACTGTTTTCACGTAAAGGCATGAAACTAATTAATTTATATTATTTGCTTCGTCCAAAACTGAAACGATACCTGGATGGGATCCTCCAGTACACCTGAGCATATCACACAAATAAGTTCCTGGTCAACTTCGCCTTGAAATCTGTTCACAGAAAATCCCATTCTGCGTGATTGCTACAATATAAAAACCTGCTTCCACGATAGGCGGGAATAGGCTGCAACGCGGTGAACGCGGGGTTCAACGGTATAAGTACCTCTTTCTCCTTTGTCATCTGTTAAGGTGTGTTTTCACTAACGTTCGCGAACAGTTCGCAAAAAGCATTGCTTATTGTTAACGTTAAATTTGTGTTACAAAAGTGATGCACATATACCGCTTACATATATGTATGTAGCTAAAAAGTACCACGAGTTTCTGAGTTATGATTTTGTAACGATACCGACAACTTGTCCAAATCGAATCGCTGTAATGTAATACTGCCCAGTGATGGACCGCATGTGTAACCGGCGATGTATCAGCATGGAGTGCATCGGATAGAAAATCGATAATTGACATCCGCATGCATCGGAAAAGACAGGTATGCGTGACAAGGCCTGATGAGCCGCTATTACGTAAAAATACTTATGTCTATCACTGTCTTTTAACACAATCGCTTGTCATTTTGCTCTACCTCGTCTCATTCGTAAAACATTGCCTTTTACCGATTTTACGAGTAAATACACCGATATATGTACATATTAACTACACGCGGACACGCGTATGTACAATACCGTTCAAAACCGCAATCCGTACGCGGAACGGTTCGGCACCAACCGAGTGAGGGAGTGTACGCACGGTTCGGGCATCATCGGTCGGGGCCGAACCGGTCCCAGTAATGCCGGCGAAAGGGTTACCACTCCTATTAGAAATATTAGGAAGTGGGGAAAGGTGGGTGGCTCGATTTGACCTGCCTAAACGCGACGTGCAGCGTTCCATCGTAATCCAGCGCGTCTTCCTGGCCTTTTATTCACAACTTTAACGTTAAATATCTCAAAAACCATAAGACAAGATACAGTCGTAAAGTTTGTAGAGAAATACAATTGTTTTTATTCATTTTAACGTCTTGGATTTATACAATTTTGTCTGCAAATTGTTCTAATTTAGCTTTATCATCATTCTCGGAAGAGACCATGTCATTAGAAGTAGAAGGGGTAGATGATAGTTGAGACGTAGAAATGATACTTTGCGTTATAGATGTAGGTGATGGATAATTGTACATCGAATTCGCAGTTACGGTTGTATTTGTATGCGGATCGTACATACTTTGTCTAATATTGCAAGTAGGAGTCGAATTAGCGTTTATAGAATGATTAACCGGCATCTGATCGAAACCACCCCGAACGGCATTAAGAAACACACCCATGATCGCGTTTTGAATCGCGCACTGTGTAGATTCCGGGAACTTTCTCAATTTAGAGGCAACTAGATTTCCAAAATGTTGCGGATCGTCGTTCGGTAACGAATTCGTTGCGCAGGTGGCCAATAAATTGAAAGCTGTGTCCAACCGGTGATCTTCTTCTTGTTTCATCCGTTTCTTTCTCGGGTTTCTGTGCGACTGAGACTGAAAAGCTTCCATCTCTTCCGGGAATTCTGTATTCTCTCTTACAATCGTATCCTCGATTTGAATCTAAATAGTATTAGTTTCAATTAGTATTGAATTTTAAAACACGTATGTATCATGCATGTGCACGTTTGCTGCGACATTACTTCGATGTAAAAATATGGGGATGTTAATAGAAATTATTATTACTATAGGAAATCGCTAACCATTCCTGATATACGACCTTTTAACCACTTAACGCTCGTATAATGCCCGTGCCCCTGATATTGGCAGACTCAACCCGTCCAAGTTTGTTGCGTGTCTGTGACGTTCACGGGCATCGACGTGACGGCAACGTACTTATACACGCTCTCTACTTGCAATTAGTATTTTGTTTACTCTCGCGCTGTATGAATTCAATGACAATATCTCCCCTATGACATCTTAACGTATTACACCGTCACGCATTTTACGTATGTACATATGAGCCGTTTATTTTGAAAGTGGCATAAGTCGCTTTACCGTAATGTGAAAAGTGGTGATTTTTTAATGTTTATACGAAATTATTTATACCGAGAAAAATATCAGTATCCTGAGACAACAAATACAAGTAAATCTTCTCGAAAGTCAGCATCTATATTTTTAAACGTGTTAAAACGCAAACCCTTAAATATATCGACTTAAAAACAAAGTGACTTACGCCACTTTCAAAATAAACGGCTCATATGTAGGGATCTTGGGAAGAAACAAAGGAAACCCCCCACCCCACGGGAATCGAACCCGGGACCTTCGTTTTGTAGTCGACCGACCTACCCACACAGCTACGGAACCCTCCTAATTTGTCGTCCAAAATCTTTCGTCGTCTCAAAAACCATTTATTGTTCATCTAACTTTCTTCTTTTTAGTAATTTACTTACAGTTTCCATTGCGTCCCGCGGTTTGTTCTTATCCAATATGAATTTCAAACTGTCGTAGGCGAACCAAGTACTTCTGTATATCTCGTTCGACCCTGCGTAAAAAATGATGCTGTTTTGTATAGCTTGTACGCGCAGCAGTTTCCGAGCCTGGAAATAAATGCTCGTTAATTTCTCACCTTTACCGGTGCCGATACTCTTTCTGATCTTCATGTTCTCCCTTCTGAACGACGACAACAAACGTTCCATTTTTCTTCTACATTCGTCCACCGATCTTCCGACCTCTTGGGAAATTTCTTTCCAGGCGTCGAACTTCTTGTATTTATTAAAGTGTTGGTAATGCTTGGGATCCCAAATAATATCTCTCTTTTTATATGCATCTATTAATTTCATAGCACCTTCATTGTTCCATTCCATTATGTAACACTGAGAACGGACGTGTACCTCGCTGGCTACCACAACTAAACTGCCGCTCAGGTAACGCGTTACTTCCTTTCGAAGCGGTTCGCAACAAGTAACGGTATGCGGTAAAGCTGTGTTCACATTTGTTACCGTTACCATGCAAGCCGCATTCTGCTGCCTGCACAATGATGAATCTGGACGGTGATACGTTCGATACGTTGTGCCGCATACCGTTACTCGTTACACGGATCGGCGAGTAACGGTAACAACGCGCCGTAACAAATATGGACACACCTTTAACATTCGGACGGAAGGGCTCGGGCCCATTTAGACCCCGAGTGTGAACATCGTTGTTCGACTATCTAATTTCTGACAATGAACCGAAGTGCCTCGAGGGATAAATGATCCTAAATACACTTAGTTACNATGTGAAAAGTGGTGATTTTTTAATGTTTATACGAAATTATTTATACCGAGAAAAATATCAGTATCCTGAGACAACAAATACAAGTAAATCTTCTCGAAAGTCAGCATCTATATTTTTAAACGTGTTAAAACGCAAACCCTTAAATATATCGACTTAAAAACAAAGTGACTTACGCCACTTTCAAAATAAACGGCTCATATGTAGGGATCTTGGGAAGAAACAAAGGAAACCCCCCACCCCACGGGAATCGAACCCGGGACCTTCGTTTTGTAGTCGACCGACCTACCCACACAGCTACGGAACCCTCCTAATTTGTCGTCCAAAATCTTTCGTCGTCTCAAAAACCATTTATTGTTCATCTAACTTTCTTCTTTTTAGTAATTTACTTACAGTTTCCATTGCGTCCCGCGGTTTGTTCTTATCCAATATGAATTTCAAACTGTCGTAGGCGAACCAAGTACTTCTGTATATCTCGTTCGACCCTGCGTAAAAAATGATGCTGTTTTGTATAGCTTGTACGCGCAGCAGTTTCCGAGCCTGGAAATAAATGCTCGTTAATTTCTCACCTTTACCGGTGCCGATACTCTTTCTGATCTTCATGTTCTCCCTTCTGAACGACGACAACAAACGTTCCATTTTTCTTCTACATTCGTCCACCGATCTTCCGACCTCTTGGGAAATTTCTTTCCAGGCGTCGAACTTCTTGTATTTATTAAAGTGTTGGTAATGCTTGGGATCCCAAATAATATCTCTCTTTTTATATGCATCTATTAATTTCATAGCACCTTCATTGTTCCATTCCATTATGTAACACTGAGAACGGACGTGTACCTCGCTGGCTACCACAACTAAACTGCCGCTCAGGTAACGCGTTACTTCCTTTCGAAGCGGTTCGCAACAAGTAACGGTATGCGGTAAAGCTGTGTTCACATTTGTTACCGTTACCATGCAAGCCGCATTCTGCTGCCTGCACAATGATGAATCTGGACGGTGATACGTTCGATACGTTGTGCCGCATACCGTTACTCGTTACACGGATCGGCGAGTAACGGTAACAACGCGCCGTAACAAATATGGACACACCTTTAACATTCGGACGGAAGGGCTCGGGCCCATTTAGACCCCGAGTGTGAACATCGTTGTTCGACTATCTAATTTCTGACAATGAACCGAAGTGCCTCGAGGGATAAATGATCCTAAATACACTTAGTTACGGATATTTTTGTCGAAGAAGGTACAAGTGTGAGACACGAAACGAATATGCTTCACGGTGGAACTCCATTTCTGAGGAAGTGCTTCGAAAACTGCAATAATGTCATTCATAATTTCATGAAATCATTTAAGATAATACAATGTAACGAGTTCTTTCAATATTATTATTTGAAAGATAATTATCGAGCTTGTCTAAGACACAGTTCAGTTATTAAATATGTTAACACGATTCCGGTAAATAAAATGTTAAATGAACGAACAATCAGGTATATGAGTCGCCTGATTATGCGAACCAACTTGTCGCCGGACTGGTTCATACAAATGGAGTTCTACTTTAATCAGCTGCAGCATATTTGGGCATCATTCGAATAACAATTCGCATAAATTCTTCGAATAAAATTTTGATCGATGGAAGCGTTAATTTAATTCGCAAAAAGGAATATTTAAGGGCTTAGTTTAATTAAGGGTTAATCGTGTACAATTATACTCGTCGGCTAGGACCTAATACATTTACGGTATACCCGTTCAGTAAGAACTTGGCCGCAGGGCAAACGCAGGGTACAATTGGGGCTCTATATGAACGGTATTTAAAAGAAGAGAAACTAAAAGGTAGGTGCGCAGGTGGACCATGGTTCAGAGAGCACCTGTTCGCGCACCTGTACTCTTGATTCATCACTTCTTTCTTAACTATTTATAACTGTTTATTTACCTTGAAATTCTAGTAACATTAGAGACAGAGCATGTATATAGTTATTTAGAGATTGTTGTCCAGTTACTGTTTCCGACAATATACGATGTCTAATTTCACAGATAACAACCTTGTCGAGATACGTGGACAACATGAAAAATGATTTGTAGGTAACAAACAGAAAATTGTGTGTATTTACTTGTACAAGTGCGACATACATTAATGAGTTTTACAGGTTCGATGATATTTATTTAGGTATAAAAATTCAATATTACAATCGTGGACAAATACTTTTAAATTGTTAGTAGCGGGATTTTATTAATAATTAATTTTCTACTCAACTTAAAAACCACAACTAACGTAAGAACAATATAAAATTCAAACGAATATAATCCGATCTCAATATATTGTGCTAAATGTAAGCATATTATACCAATTAAATCGTTCGACAAAAGAAAAATATTAGGTTTCCTCAAAATTTCTTTTCATAATATACGCGTTTGATGCTGTCCTACAATAAGGATATACATACACAAATAACACAATCATCTATTTGTTAATGCTCCATTAATTTCCAAGCCTTCACTTGTCCAGGCACACCATTGTGTTTCTTTACAAGATTAATCGAAATTCATACTACACACATTAATCGTGTACGAAACGAACATGTATTCGGGACTGTCCAACATAATCGAACAGAGCAGCGTGTATGTACTCTTTTTTTTGTCCACATAAATTGCATACGCCAGCGATATCTTGTCAAATATTCTTCAATAATTGTTTGGTTGGAACGGCGGGGATTCTAAGAAAATGCTACTATCTCAAGGACTCCACGGGGTCGACAAAGTTTGACGACCACTGGAATGGACGATTGATATGCAGAGATTCACAAGTAGTTGTAGCACAGTTACATAAAAAAATATTCAGTGCCCGAACCCGCAGACCGTACCGTTCCGACTCTCTATCGGAAGAATAAAATAATAGATATTTACTTGAACGGCTTTGCACATGATATCTGTGTGTACTGTTCGAAATGAATCAGCTTTGAGTTCCATTCAGAAGAGCTGCGTATTCTCTGTGACATTTAAGTCCGACACTACGGTTCCATGACACGGTATCAAATGGATATCGATCCTCTCGACTCTCGGGAACATAACTACCGCGAGCGTTTCCGTCGGTGGGCCGCGAGGTGGAGCCACGGCCGTCTATTTGTACACAACCGCTCGGCTGAATGGCGGGAGGGCGCTGCTTGCGATCGGGTGCATAAGGGTTTCTTGCACGAAATTGGCCCTCCTCGCGGATCCAACCGATTACGTTTTCGCCGTGTGACAACGAGAGACAACACGCGGCAAGTGGTTCGTGTGTTGCACCGCGATTCCGGCAACGATGCTGTCCGACCCGCGACGTTTCCCATTCATTTAAACGCCGCCGATGTATACCCTCGTCGCTAACCTGGAGACCGGCGACAGGAGCCATGCCGCAGCACAACCCCCAACAGACCAGGCTGACGACAATGACAGCGATGTATCCTCATCGTCTTGTCAGCTAGGGAACGCCGACAGCAAGTAAGTAAGTAGAGAAACATCAAATTATCCCCCCATGGCCGGGCACACGTTCCTCGAAACTCCGCTTCCCTAAAATTGTTCTACGATCTCGGATGACATTTTTCCTCTTCTCTCTCTCTCTCTCTCTCTCTCTCTGTGTGTGCGTTCGTATACCCGCAAAGTGTCAGCCAGCGTGGTTGTTCCGTCGGTGCGACGCATTGTCTTCGCTGCGACAGCCGTGAACAATGGATTCAGTGGGCGAAAAGGAATCGTTATTGGAACGTTCGGCAAACATTGCGACACTTGATTTGTGAAATGAAAATTGCTGCTCGAATTTCTGCGCGTTAATTCGGTAATAGCGGCGAGGCGATTCGTCGAGCCGTTGCAGCGGCTCTCTCTTGAATCGATCGAGCATTTCTCGCGAGACAATTATTCCGAATCGTTTGAGCGATACCTCTGCGTACGGACCGTCTATAAATGTGGTTGTTGAGATGTGCCAATCGGTGCGGCAAGGGGAAAAGGATCAAGATAGTTCGCGAGTTAATGTACATAGTACGACGTAGACTATATATATACCGCGAGTTTCTCACTATAAATTCACCAAAAGTTCTCCCTATGAAAACGTTGCACCATTCTGTATGCAGAGTTGCAGTATATCGGGATGGTTCTCGTGTGCACGATCGTTTTGGTATCGTTGATCTAGTCGACACGGTCGCCTGAACGAGGAACGTCACGCGGCTGAAATGTTCCGCGAGCAGCCGCAGCCTTTTGTCATTGGCGACTGGAACGAACGTGGGTCACTGACCGGTGAACTCTGACCGAACGTGACGTCATTGATTGTAGGCCCCACGGGGGAATTTATTTTCGTGTCGTGGCATGGGAGGTGCTGCGGCATCGGACTATTTATGCCCTTTAATTTCTGTCGCGTGTGTCTCTCGTACGAAACGATTGCGTCAGAGCCACCAAGCTCGGGTGCACACGGGATGACGTTTCGCGTGTCTCTACAAGCACCGATAATGCTATACCGGTAATCCTGTTTTCTCGAACGTGTACCGGACAGAGGCGAGCACACACTCTGTTTCACACACGCGATTCCACTGTTCTCTTCACCGATACGTTCTCGCGCGTCGGCAACGACGGTTCCTGTTTTACGATTCTCGCTGATCGCGTATGCACCCGCCCATAAGTTACCGAACAACGTTCGTTTCAATAAAATAAAATTTTAAAATTTTAAAATAAAATTTTACTCGGACATTATTGTCTCTATTGTGTTTAGAAATAAGCTGAAAAATGCGATAACCCTAAATGACTCGTGGTTTTTGTTCTCGCGCGTTGCAATATTTTTATTTAAAAAAAGCGATAAAATGGAACCGATCCTCTGGACGTCGATTGATTTTCTGTTGCAAGTCGTCGAGTGAACATCGTTTACTCGGACATTATTGTCTCCATTGTGTTTCGAAATAAGCTGAAAAATGCGATAAATGACTCGTGGCTTTTGTTTTCACGCGTTGCAATATTTTTACAAAAATAATGATGCGACGTTATTCGTCAAGAAACGAACAGTTGTGGAGTTAATTATATTTATGGATCCAAAAGGGGCACTCTGTGTACAAGTTACGTAGCAGAATAGTTTCAGATAGTGTCACAGAAACGTTGGGGTTTACGACACGGTCAGTCGTATGTATTTACTTCGGAAAATTCTGCACAGGCGGCGAACAAGCGCCGTCCAACTATGAATGTCGCTATGTGCCTGTGTGTCAGCACGTGGACTCTAGACATTTTGTCAATGGAGACGGTCGCATCATAAAGCGCGACGCTTCGCTGTAGCGCCGATGCTACGAACAATGGAAGCAGAAATAGATCGAAGGACTGACCCTTGGGTCGGCTTGCGCTCGGGGCGCCCTACCCGGAGATGCAACATACCCCACGCGGACGAGGTGGGCGTCGATTTCGTGGCACTTTCGACGGCTGCTCGCTGCTCCGGCGATCAGTATCGATTTACTATAACAGTTATTTTCGATATTTCGCTTGTCGATATTTTTGTGCTGGTAAAGAGATGGATAGCGATGCCTCTGGCGGTTCTAGAGGGTGGGATGTCTCGAAACGAACGTCTCCTCCGTTCACCGTGTAATTTGGTGCCGTTCGATGCAATGGCGGCAGAGGATTTTTATTTCGATACAGATCCGCGATCTAGTAATTACGCGCGGAATTATTGATCGCGCAGCGAGGTGCCCGTGGAATCGGTTAAAACGAAATGCGACATCGACCGAGACGCAGAGCGTGGGATCGGCTGAAATGAAATACGATATCGCGGCACAAAACCGCACAGGATTAATATAATTGCAATAAAGTCCGCGGCTATGAAAGGAAAGGCTAGGAAGTTCCGCGAGTCTGGCGCAATCGCGCCGTTGCGTTTTACGTTTGCGTAGGATTGCAATAAGCAAGGTACTTCGTATCGCTACAGATCTGCACAAGTACTTGTAATTTTCTCGAGGCATGCTCATCAGCGAGCCCATGTATCTCATTCACAGACGTTCCGCCTCGCCGTGACTCGTGGCCACTATCGGTTTCCTGTGCGAAGCACCCGAGCAACACGCAGCTCCGTTCTATCGATCTGCAGCAGCCGGGAGTTTCCTTCCTCTTTTGTCTTTATTCTCGCTCTCTCTCTCTCTCTCTTTCTCTCTCTCCTTTCGCCTTCCATCTTGCTATCTTACTCGGGCTTATTTATTTCCATTTCTACTTCGTTTCGTTTCATTGTCCCTTATTTCCCTATGTTCCCCTCCTGCTGCCCGTATTTTCCCTCGATGCAAATTTTCGCCCCGTCCTCTCCATTTTCCCTCGACACATACACTCCGTGTGAAAAGTATTCGTATACTGTATTTCCGGATTTTTCACGAATTCTCGATATTCTCGAACTAGAATTTTCTCGTCCCCCTCGTAATTTTCTCGCCTCCCTGGAAGATTAAAAACTACAGAAATTGGACGAGGAACTGGCGGATGCTCCGATGGTCCAGAAAGGCAAATTAGGGAGCACAAATGTGGATTTCTGCAATTAAAATCTAGGAACAGGAACAGAGATGGGACCAACAAAAATGTTATCAAGAAACNAATATAATTGCAATAAAGTCCGCGGCTATGAAAGGAAAGGCTAGGAAGTTCCGCGAGTCTGGCGCAATCGCGCCGTTGCGTTTTACGTTTGCGTAGGATTGCAATAAGCAAGGTACTTCGTATCGCTACAGATCTGCACAAGTACTTGTAATTTTCTCGAGGCATGCTCATCAGCGAGCCCATGTATCTCATTCACAGACGTTCCGCCTCGCCGTGACTCGTGGCCACTATCGGTTTCCTGTGCGAAGCACCCGAGCAACACGCAGCTCCGTTCTATCGATCTGCAGCAGCCGGGAGTTTCCTTCCTCTTTTGTCTTTATTCTCGCTCTCTCTCTCTCTCTCTTTCTCTCTCTCCTTTCGCCTTCCATCTTGCTATCTTACTCGGGCTTATTTATTTCCATTTCTACTTCGTTTCGTTTCATTGTCCCTTATTTCCCTATGTTCCCCTCCTGCTGCCCGTATTTTCCCTCGATGCAAATTTTCGCCCCGTCCTCTCCATTTTCCCTCGACACATACACTCCGTGTGAAAAGTATTCGTATACTGTATTTCCGGATTTTTCACGAATTCTCGATATTCTCGAACTAGAATTTTCTCGTCCCCCTCGTAATTTTCTCGCCTCCCTGGAAGATTAAAAACTACAGAAATTGGACGAGGAACTGGCGGATGCTCCGATGGTCCAGAAAGGCAAATTAGGGAGCACAAATGTGGATTTCTGCAATTAAAATCTAGGAACAGGAACAGAGATGGGACCAACAAAAATGTTATCAAGAAACACCACCATCTATTCTCACAGCGATGGAATACATGATTATTGAATAAATGATTATTGAAGCTCTAAACCTGATGAAATCGAACAATATTTTACGCTCCATCGTCCGCACGGATTCCACGAGCGCAATTAACACCGTAAAAGACGCTAAAACAATAAAACCACTCGAAATCATCGAAACAGTCCAAGAAAACCCCGCAGAACTCGTTGATTCGATCGAACGCGTAACCCTTACCTGGCTCATCTCCCGCTAAAAAGCACAACCGATAATTAAGTATCCGATTCTAACGCCAAACGTCTGGCATAGACGCGACGTATGGCTATTCGATGATATTGTAGCAAGATTGAAAAGCCGGGCAACTCGTATTACCAAAAATCAGATGTTGTTAGGATAGGACAGTTGATAAATCTTCTTGGCTCGAAATACCGTGACTGGCGTCTGGATACTCGAACGCTCTCGTCCTTGCTGGTTTATATCGTTTGACAGCCTCGAGGTAACAAATACGTATTTCGCTAGTAACCATGAACTAGCCTGGTCGCATTGAAAGTCTGCTCTATTCATAGAAAGAATGGCTAAGGCTTATGTACATACGCTACAGTCACCCCTTTGAAAGGCTTAACGTGTAATATTCTTTTTTCCGAGCGACTGTAAATTTCGATGTTAAGGTCAAGGCCTTGGTAGTGGCAGAAAATATTCGCGAAGTTAGGGGCTACATCGATTTCGACGGAACTTCAAGGGTTCGCGAGAACGTCGAAAAAGTGGCGCGCCGTGAATTCTTCGTGTCGATACACGTTGCCGAAATTTTTCGACAGTTTTACGTTCTTACAAAACTTTTCAATTTTTCAAATAATCTGGCCGCGAGCGTGCGCTCGACAAAAATCATCGAGCACGAAACAGCGAGCAAAATTCAAGGAATCTAGAAAATTCGGTTGCACTATTTTCGGCACCATTCTCTTCGCGGTTACAACGAGATTCGAACTTTTTCGGTTGTAATAATTTCTCGGTTGAAGAAAATTGATATTTATGGTACGCCTAAATGTACTCGAACGTTTAACTATACGTAATTATCAATCTAATATTTTCTAAATGCGTTCGTAATGGCGGCGTCATTTATAAAATGTTTGCCGACAACCGAGTATGAGATTTGCGGTTTTACGGAACATAATCGAACGCAATAATGTATCCGCCCATCGCATCGGTGTGTCACAATGGCATAGAGGCACCACTCGCAGTCTCAAAACGTGCTTTATAAAGTGGATCACCCTGTATAGCCCGAGAGAACGAATCACAGTAGAGATTGCATTTCGTCCCCTCGCCATTCCCGCTATTTTTAGGTTTCGTGATCCTAGAATGCATCCCGGTGGCCCTTATTTATAGGAATGATCCGGTGTCAACGTCCTAGACGATTTGTCATAAAAGCGAACGCCTCCGAGGAATCAGAATGTTTTTAAACATTTTTCTCTCGAAGAATTAAGTCACGATTCCCGGCTGACTAAACTTCTCGGAATGGCATCACACATCTCCATAAATATAAGATTCTTCGAACGGTTCTCGCTCGGCCGCTTTCTCAAAAATCCCCTAAACCGGACGCACCATAATTTTTAATGTATTATTATTATTATAACATTTAGATACTCGCAGTACTTATACAAATCGATCTTATTTGACACATTCTTCTCTTCACTCTTCTCTTTCGCTCGCCGATCTTCGATTAAAAGCTAATTATTCTTGAAAGTGAACCAAAGGCACGGCAATTGTCCGGGCCACAGTAACTGGCACCGCCGCCCTATTGATATTTAGCAAGTTCTACAATTCCGGTTCGACCCGATTGGTCGGCGTACGCAAGGATTTCGCAAGAACCGAAACTCTTTTAACCGATGACGATTTTAGAGCAGTTAGGTAACGAAATGTACATCAAAGTTGGCATTCGGGCGAGGAACCGTCTTGCATCGAATGGATCCCTCAGTTATCCGTTGGATGCGCCGATGGTAGCTTTTCGAATTAACGCGCCAACGGCTCGACGATCATGGGCGAGGTTTACTCGATCTTCGAAACGATCGATCACTGGATACAGGGACTAAACGGTTCGAGCAAGATCCAGGAGACGAGCACACGTGAAACGGAAAACGTTATCGAAACGAACGACTTCCTGATCGACGCGCCAGTTCTTCGGGATCTGTTGTTGGACGTGTCGACCGAGAAAAATATCTACGACATCGTCTGCACCATCAATCGGTTGATCTTCTTTTACGTGATCATCAAGTGGATTAATCTCGAGGTGTGGACCGTAGTTGGCGGCGGACCCTTCGCCATGAACCGATGAGCCTCGAGGAAACGATTCGATCTTCGAATGTTTTTTTGCGAAAGTCTATAACGAAAGCGAGAGAACAATCCGACCAAGGAAAAATTGCTACGACAAATCGGTTGATAAATTCGGCACGCGGAATCGAAAGGGTGTAGTGTCGTCACGCATGTGTACATTCGCCAATGCACGCTCTCTCGCTTATTATGCGTTCGACATCGTGCACCAGCAACATTATGCTCCTCGTACTTTTATACGATAAAAGCGATACGCTTTTTTTTTAAATTAATATGGAATTAGGGAAGTTGACGCTGTTGACGAAACGATGCTTATTACGACGTGAAAATCGATTTTCGACGATTCTGCGACGAGCAAATAACCAAATCTGTGCCAACAATTGTAAAATATTGACACATGATTTTCGTATTACCGAAAATGCAGTGTAGTTTCGGATAACGAATAGCAATTTTTTATTCTTTCTGTAATAAATTGAATACCGTCGCACGATTTATTCTCGTTTCTTTGAAATACTCCCCTCCAAGTGAAACAACGATATTCTTCTGAAAAATGCACGCGGCGTTTCTCCATAAATTCGCATTTATTTCTTCCGAGTAATATTTCCGTTTAATTAACAACACCTCGTCGTAGAGGATAGAGATGATGCACATTTATCCAGATCTTAGAATCAGCATTTTCGAAGAAATGCTTTCTTCGAGCTAATAAACGAGGGCCTCGGAAAATCTAAGCGACACCTAAATGGTTTATTTACCATTCGAAGTTTCATTACGGTCAAAAATAAATTCCACGACAATTATTGGCGAATGTCGCGCATATCTATATAGTATGTAAGTATGCAGTTAAACCAGTTTAATTTTAGATTTCGCTGGTATGTTGATTCTCGAAAATATTGGCGCCAAGGTATCCAGAAAGCACATGAACCGTGCGCGGCCTCGGATTCCGACTAAAAGTTGATAGAAGAACATTCGGTTTAAAAAGTTTGGACACGTTCTCGGACCGTGTAGTGTGACGTTTTAATTGCACGAAGACAGAAATATAATCTGACGTAAACTATGTTCATCAAAGAACCAGCGCTGTTTCATTTTCCTTTTGAAGTCGTATGTCTCGTTATTTTTATTGCTCTTCTTATCTCTCGCGTTTTGTACGTCTCGGTGTTACATCTTTTATTTTATGGGGCGTCAATCAATTTTAAGTCAATTTATTTGTTCTACGCTGTTCAAGATCTATTTAAAAATATATCGCAAGGCTGATCAATTTTCTGTATACGATATTTTTCCGGGGGGTGAAAATGATAAATAATGTTATTTGTTCTTCTAAATAAAATGACATCAAATCTTGATTAAAATCCTGATGAAAATTAAAGAAATCTTTCGGCTATAACATGCAATTAATGCAGCAAATGCAGGCAAATTTGGAATAAATGTAAACCTAACGCGTATAATAGTATTTATAATTTTTCCTCCTCTCTAACATAACAAGTACAAATATTCAATTTAAAGAATGTAATAAATAAATCTTCCAAAGGGTGTCATTTAAGAGAAGCATATACATATACCGCGTAACAGGTCTCTTGAACTCGCGCATCTTTCATTCGTGTCCATATTCTAAGAAACGCATACTTTAGAAAATATGTAAGGTGTGTAAGCTTAATAATGACTCAGACCCGATACGTACACCTATAACGTGCAGGAATCATCCAGTGACTAGTGCATCACCGGTGGGCGCTCGTCACTCGCCATAAACGTGACGTATAAGAATTTCATAGCGTTCCATAATTATGAAGCGATGCGACAATCTTTATCGTTATTCACCATTCGATCCTCGTCCGGCACTCGATTTTAACGTGTTCGTGCGTCGAATTGACAGTATCTTGAACAAAATCGATACAATACGAGGCAAACGATATCTTTTACTAAATATTTCACTGAAAATAAAGAAAAACATACTCGTACAACGTTCTCTTCACATTTTTCATATAGAATAATACGACGTGTCGGACAAGCTGCTTATATTTTATTCTTTTCGCTCTATGCCCTTTTTCCACCGTTATTGACAATCAAAGCCGCATAGTAAAGCGACTACTGTATTCATTCCACCCTTTGCTTGCTTCCATCCTCGTCGCTCGTCGTTCAAGTTTTCGCTCGCTTATTATCGTCCATATCCATTAAACATTCTTCCAGAGTTATTAAATTCCAGCTCCCTGTATCTCCTAGCTATCTTTCCGACGAAGCTTCTTAGAAAGAAGCGACGTCCTCGAAATTACTTAACATCGCCTTTCCAAGGGTTGAACAAGAAAATAGCTCCCCTGTTAACCACCTTTATCCTAGTTCTCGTTAAACAAGATAAAACTCGCGAAGTCTCAGATCAATTCTCTCTAAAATCAGCGGGACAATATATGTACAGTAATGTTTCCCTAACTGACGCTCAGATTGTGCAGTAGACAATTGGGAAGACAATTTGGGAAATAGACAATTTGGGAAGCGGATATACGATTATTCGAGCCTTGCAGCTCGCTTTTATAGTTGTCGACAATTCGTAACTATAAGAACGAACCGCAGGACTCGAATAATCGCTTCTACTCTTCCCAAATTGTCTATACAGTAATGTCTCCCTTACTGACGCTTAGATTGCGCACAAAAATGGACAATTTGGGAAGTGGAGATACGATTAAAAATTTAAGTCTTGCGTCTCGTTTTTATAATTACCGATTTTCAACAACTATAAAAACGTGGCACAAGGCTCGAATAATCTCCTCTTCCCAAATTATCCACTTTGGTGGACAATCCGAGCGTCAGTATGGGAGACATTACTGTATTCGTGGACAATCTGAGCGTCGATTAGAGAGACATTACCGTACTCCGACGCCCTTAAATAGCGTCGGATCGACGTCAGGGACGGACGAGGGTTAATCGAAGATAGCGTTGATCTAATTGTCGACGCGAACGGTATAAAATAATTGTAGGTGCACGAACGCAGTATGTACCCGTCGAGCGTAAATATAGGCGGCAATACGATGCTGTAGTAGTATTAGTAGACCGTACAGAGCCGTAGCGGAGGAGTGCACACCGTGTGTAGCCGTGCACTGCTCGTATGTATAGGTAGAGGGTTGAGGATAGTGACACGGCCCGTGGCAGTGCGATGGCGCGGCCGGGGTAGTTGGTGTGGGGTCACGAGAGTGGAGAGGAGAGGGTGACGTTCGGCAGGCCGACTTTCCTCGAAGCCAGTCGGATGTTAAACGCGACGGGAGTCGGTTGCTCGTTTTCGCTGCATCTCGGCAGTGATCGGCTTTCGTCGGATCTCCTGCTTTTTTTACACACACATACACGCACGCACGGACAGACAGACGGACGGACAGACGCGTGCGCGCGCGCTCGCGCACACACATACACACACACGCGTATAAGAGAGTCGTCGCACATCGTTGCACGTCCGCGGACCAATACTTGTGCACACGCGTTTCCGTTCCGCGAACGCTTGCCCAGAATTGAACGGCCGCGACCACGGATAACCGAATGTCGGATAGATCCCGTGGACACGTAAAAGGAAGGAGTGACAGGTCGTTGCACTTGATACGAGAGCCGATCGAGTGTGTCGCTTCGTTAAATTTCAGTGCGTGATTTGTGTTTAACGACCGCGCCTCGATCCCGTTACCCGTGACAGTACCGAGCCTCGTTCGTCCTGCCTCGTCTTCTAGCACCGTCTCGTGTCCTATCGTCTGGTCTCGTCTGGTCCCGTCTTATCTCGACGACTAGTTTTCTCCCGCTCCGTCTCGTCTCGTCTCGTCTCGTCTCGTCTCGTCTCGTCCCGTTCCGTCTACGCGGACCGTCCCTCCCGCATTTAATTTCGCGGATCGTCGGGTCCAGCCATTGCGCGACAGTTCTCGAAATCAATTCCGGGACGACGATCTCGCTGTGAACGAATCTGGGTTTCTCAAGTGCAAAGGCTATATTATCTGTTGTGATACGCAGCTGGTAAACGGGGAGCAAGTGTGAACGGTGAGGCGCACAGAGGCGGCTGGCTGGCCTGTTGTGTGTTTCGCGATACGATTCGGTTCGTCGGCGACAGCAACAGCAACGGCAAGAGAGGCGAACAGGTTTCGAGCCCGCCGAGACACCCGTTCGGCGATATACACACTACACCGAGCCCGCAAAGCGAATAGAGAGAGAGCCGTATATCCGTTGCAACCAGTCCGTGGCCGAAGCGTTGCATCGCCGGGCCTCTAATTGCATCGGCGGCGGCGGCAGCGGCAGCGGCGACTCGAGTCACGGGAGAAGCGGTTCCCACGAAAATTCTAGCGATAATGCGTACAGTGAGCGAAGCGATGAAACATCGCGCGATCAGCTGACTAGCCGAACTGTTCGGCGGCCGCGGACAATCACGCTCGGCCGGTAACGGGAATCGGCGGAACACCGACAAGGATTCTCGGCAACGACAGGAACGATTGTCTACCTGCTCGGTTATGACGTTCGGTACGCCGTTTCACACGGACAAGTCGCACTTTCCCAGCGATAACCCTGCTCGGTATGTTTCTCTTTTCATTGCGTTTCGTTCGTTCGTTCGTTCGTTCGATCCGAACCGGCAAACCGGTTCCGATTCCGATTCCGATTACGATCGGCATCGGAACCGCGTTCTTTCTCCTCATTCAAACCGACGATCGAATACCGTCTCGAACCGTCGTCGGTCACATCGTTCGATCTACAGTAATGTTTCCGTAATTAACGCTCAGATTGTGCACGAAAATGGACAATTTGGGAAGAGGAGACACGATTATTCGAGCCTCGCGGCTCGTTTTTACAGCTGTCGACAATCGGTAACTGTAATAAACGAGGTGCGAAGCTCTAAAAATTGCATCTTCTCTTCCCAAATTGTTTATTTTTCTGCACAATCTTAGCGTCAGTTAAGGAGACGTTGCTGTATCGCCTTTTATATCAACCAAAACGTGTCGCGAAAAGTAAGCGCACTCGTCGCGCTTGCCACCCCTAATTCAGACGGTACGCGCATACTGATTCTTCGTGATAATTATTTATACGTTCTTGTTTGTTCGTTTTATTTTGTCTCAGCCTCCAAATACTCGAGACATCTGAGAATCGATGATATATATATTTTTAAGGTTTCAATAAAATTGCAATTCAAACTTTAAAAAATTGCAAACTTTTACGCACCGCTTCACGACTGGCGTATTTATACTTGTCGAAAACAGCTGACCGGTTAATCTTGCTCGATATTCGCTATTCTTTTTGTATCGAGCGCGGTATTCGATTAAACGACTATTTGGAGTGTATGTATATACATATATGTGTGTATGTGTTTTTAAATGAAACCGAGGCAAGGTATTTACCGTGGGGTGACCAATGGTCCATGCTGCTCGCAGAACCGTGTTTCGGACCATGCCTGACCACGGCGAACGAAACGTCTTATTATTGATTATCGTCGGAGAGCCACCGATGCGTTGGCTCCTGTTGTTTATGCCACAGGTTTTTTCGTGTTTGTTGCTCGGTGCAATGGAAAAGCTGTCGGCGCTGTCCGATGCATTTGTTAATTGCGGCCTGCTTTCTTACTCGATACAGGTTTCCGTTAATTAAGCGAAAAGGTGGATCCGCTTTAACCAAAGAGGATTCGGAGAGTTGTTCGCTGTAAGCGGATTAAATAAATGTGTCGGATTGAAAGTACAGTTGCAAAAAAAATGCATATTCTTGCTTTTACGATATGACCGCGGTATTGTTCTTTAGTGTTACAATTGTAAGCAGCAGAAATGCTGGATGCTGTTACATTTTTCAAATCGTATAATTATTATTTATCATCGCGATATCGATTTAATTGTCATTGAACAGATTTTTCGTGTATATATATACCTTTATCTGTGGCCGAAACAATTGCATAATTTTATTACAAGAAACAACGAGTTCGTAGTTCAATGAAAACAAGAAAAATAATGCAGCAGGAGATTCATTTTTCAGTTCCCAATGAATGTGAAATACTTTCTCCGTTGTTTTCAACGATGAAACCGCTGAATAATTCTTATGTCTTTCACCGCGAACGATGTATCTTACAAAAGTATCTTATTTCAGTATTGCTCGTGTGACCGTAAATTTGTGCTTTCCTTTTTACTCGAAAAATATTTATGTCTGAAAATGTAGAGTTTCAATTGTTTCGAGAATGATTTTCTTTCTAACGTGCAGGGTGAATCGTTTAACTCGTTCACCTTAATTTTCCGAATGGAAAGCTGTTTGGTATAAAGAGGACACGTACACATGTAGTTTACAAGAGAAATGGCGGAGGAGTTGGATAACTCGCCCTGCATAGTTTCAGTGCATTACCGGGGATATAGACGTGATAAACGGACACGGAGAGATCAATGTTATTAGTGAACCGCGGAACTTTATGCATTTATAGCAGAATTTATTTACAGCGAATAAAATAGGGAATATGTTCGGAGACTCTGGGAATTCGATTATATTATTCGCATTCGAAGGAAGAATTATGTTTCCTTATAATTCCTGTTTCTTCGACATCAACGATTTATTTAGTTATATTTTTAGGGCATTTATTTTATCAGTCGCAACAAAAATCGTGTCCTGAAAAGAATTGAGAAATATCTGCTCGTCGTTCGTGAACGAACACATACACTTTCGATGTTTCTGCACGACATCGAATTAGAAAATATTCAGAAGTGTGAAAGAATGGCGACAGTCTCCGTGAAATCACAGTTTAAAATACAGTAAACTCTCCCCAATTTTCCTTCAGCATTTGCGAGCAAAAATGAACAATTTGGCAAGAGGAGATACGATTATTCGAGCCCCGCGGCTCATTTATTATAATCGCCGATCGTCAACAATTATAGAAACGAGGTTCGAGTCTCCAATAATCGCGTCTCCTCTTCCCAAATTGTCTTTTTTCTTTGCGCAATCTGAGCGCGAATTAGGGAGAAATTACTGTACGACACGTGCCATCGGAATTAACAAATCAGCGTGACGCTGTCGCACAGCGCCGAGCTCTCAATTCGCAATAAGAAACGTAATTTCTTTTGTATCGATCGTTCCGGGAACAATTACAGAAGTTTCCTCTGTGCTGCGAAAGACAAAGCAGCGCGCCAACCAATTAAGTGTTAAAGGTCTGCGTCGACGTCGCGCGTCGCAGTCCGTCGAATAGATTCTTGCGTTCACGTGCAACGCGCTCGTAGGCTACCGATTTGGCATTGGTTGGACATAGCCGAGCGTCATACGTCCCCATGTACGCGTAATTATCGATATACGTTCTCACCTGGGTATAAAAGGTCTCTGTTCCCGAGCGCGTAACGTGCACTTTTATAGATTACGCTCGTACAAAAGCCGTCTGTACGAAGGCACGGGACCGGCGCGAGGAAATTATCAACGAACCAAACAGCCAACGAGCCAAACCGAATTCCCTGGTATCACGGGCTCTTTGTACCGCCGCGTGTCGAGAATCTCGCGTGCCGCTTGAAAAAAAGAGCACAAATTTTAGTAAAATTGAATGGAAAAGCGTGGCTCGCGCAACGAACCGAAAGAATGCATACGCGCTAAATAGTCTCGTCGCAGTAATGATTGATGAGTAATTGTTCGCCTAAATGCTCTGATCGGTGACAAGTACATACAGTAATGTCTCTCTAATTGACGCCCAGATTGCGCACGAAAATGAACAATTTGGGAAGAGGAGATACGATTATTCGAGCCTTGCGGTTTATTTTTGTAATAATCGTATCGATCGCAAGGCTCGAATAATCGTATCTCCGCTTCCCAAATTATCCATTTTAGCGGACAATCCGAGCGTCAGTAAGGGGGACAATCTGAGCGTCAGTAAGGGAGACATTACTGTGTATAGCGGGCGACGATGATTTAATGCGGCGGTGATCTCGCTTGAAAGAAATTCGTATTTTGCTCGAATCGCGTTCGAGAACGTCGAAGAGTATCGACAATGCAGAAGAAACGCGGCTGTGATTCGAGGAAACGCAATGGTCAGTGAACCAGAAAAATATTACGATGGCACGGCAGTGGAAGCGAGTAGACAAGGTCACGACGGTGTAGATTGATATGACCTTAATCTGAACGCGTTATGCTACTGGCATAACGGGATGCCAACGAGAAAAAGTGCATGACGAATATTCGTTTTGAATAATGAGAGTTCACTCGTCGATTCGAGGGTTACAGGGCTGAAGCCGCGACACAACGTTTTGTACTAGAAAAATAGAAATTGAAAATTGAAATAAAGAAGACCTTTCGTTCTAACAATAGCCGACTTCTAAATATACGACCACGATATGCAGTGTCTGTGCGACATGCTATGTACACCTACAATACTCTTCGCAGCGAAGTACCATGTTCCATTTCAATCATACTTGCGCGAAGTGCAGCGTGCATTCTGCTCGAAGTTTTCAGTTTCGAATGCTCGGCGATGCTTCGATTGTAAAAAGAATTTACGAGAGAATAATACAGGGAAGAAATAGAAATAGAACGTGGCTCTTAAATCTGTAAAATTAGATTTTCTGTACGAACGCGTTGGATGAATACGTTTGCGATAGACAAATGTGGTAACATTTTGTTTAACAAGTGGACCGCGGATTGTATGCATTATTATGGCAAGAGTGAGCAGGTGAGATTCATAACGTGTACATAACGTGTATATACCGCGCACATACCGTATACATACTGTGTACATACCGTGTATGTAGCGTGTACATAGCGTGTACATAACAACGTATACGTAACGCGTACGTAACGCGAACATAACGTATACATAACGTGTAAATAACGCTGCTGCCGGTATAGTTCTGAAATTGGAAACTGAAAATATAAAAATCAGGTGATCTCGATGATAAAGAAAAACTTAGGCGAAGTTATAGCACATAAAATTGGCGCGTGTTTACTTATTCATGATTCCTTAATGCTTCGTCGCGATGCATTCGATGCATTCGAACATTTTATATCAGAGAGGTCATTGGTCATTTCATCGTAATAATTACGAATTGCACGCGTAATCGATAGGTAGCGGTTTTTATGCATTTGTAACAAATAAATATGTATATTTCATTGCCTGGATCGGACATGAATCGCCGACGATCGAAAGTCTCGCATCGAGCTTTTTTCTCTCTCGTCGAATCTCTTCTCCATAAATATTATCGTTCGACCGATCTGTGATACCCTTTTTTTAACGTCCCGCGGATCGTCCCGGTTAACATAATACAGATCGCATTAATTTGTTTACCCGTGTCGGCGATGTTTCCACGTGTCTAACAAACCGGCGTATTCCGTTGCGCGTACATCGTTGTTTTAAACGTTAAGGAAACCGTCGCACATCCATTGCCGCATTAGGCATCGGTTATGGTCATTGCGCCAATTCAGTTCGACATCCGTCCACGTCATTCGTTCGCGTGTGGACAGACACTTCGTTCCGAACGTTGAATGTCAGACCAGAACGATCCTTTGACGAATTTAGGAAGGTCGTTGACGTTGTGAAACGTTCACAGTTTCAGTTCCGAACTCGTTGTTATATTGTAAATTAATTCT